GCCATGTCGCACCGAGGAGACAAGTGGCCGAAGCCGTGCAAGAACTTCCATAAAAGATATGCGGCGAGAAATCCGCCTAATTCGTAAAGGCTTGCTGAAATTAAGGAATTACACATGAAGAAACTATCGTCAATCATTAGCCAGATTCAAAGACTAGGGAGAAAATTTTAAACCCCTTCCATAAGAATGATTCCCGTGAAGAGGAGGTTAGACCACGACACTTCGAGATTTAATATTAGAGGAGGTCGAGGGATGGAGTGATTTTTGGAGAACAAATAGGCCTAGGGGTGAAGGTAGACCAAGGGGAGAATGAATCTAAATGACTTCATTGAGTGGTTGCTGGTCGTTGATAATTTTTTTAGTACAAGAAGGTGTCAGCTGATAGGAGAGTGAAGCTTACTGTCATAAATATGAAGAAGAATACATTTTTTGTGTTGGGAGAATTTGAAGAGAGAGAGCGATAGAGAGAAGGTTGGAGCCAGATCGTCACTTGAGAGAAGATGAAGAAGATGCAGAGAAAATATCTACACCCGCACTATTGACAGAGCATGTCTTGAAGCTCCACCATCTACAGTAGAAAGAGTTGTCAGTGGAGGAGTTCACAGTAGAATTTGAGCAACTGACAGAGTCAGAGGAGCACACTATCGCCATCTATTTGGGAGGCCTGAAGCCAACCATCAGTAATATTGTCCAGCTACAATCGATTGGTCATAACATCACCTTGGAACTAAAATTGGAGAAACAACATAAGCAAATCAGGACTCCTTCATTCAGACAGTTACCCACAAAAAGAGGAGGCAGTACGAATAAACTTGAGGATGGTGCCAAAACAGTCCATAAATATGATAGAGCTGACAATGTGGGAAGGAGCTCAATAGGAACAATACACCCAACACAATGCCGCAAGAAAGTGTTTGAGAAGTAATGGCTTAGAACATATGATCTTCAGTTGTTCTACTACCATAATTGTCTCTTTCACTAAGTATGGAGTCGTAGAAGAAGTGAATAATGATGTTGGAGACATATAGATTAGTGAGGATGTACAAGAGTACCAACTTTCAGCTGTTGAAAGCGAGATGTTTGTGGTTCGATGGTCCTTCAGATTGAGGCTACGAGAGAACAGCAGTGGCTTCGCCACAACATATTTTACATCTATTGCATTGTGAAGAGAAATGTATGCAACCTTATCATTAATGGAGGTATTAATAAGAATGCGTCTACAAATATCATGGGTAAGTTGGAGTTTCAATATTCAGAGACATACTAACTTGATTGAAGGAGAAAAGGGTTAGCATTGACAGGAGATGCCTCGTGGAATTTTCTATTAGGGACCAACTGCAGGATCAGATGTGATGTGATGTTGTGCCCATGGATATTTGTCACATTTTGTTATGGACACCATAGCAGTTTGATTTCATGACTCTGCATGGTGAGATCAAAAACACCTACTCATTCACAAAGAATTTAAAGCGTATAAATCTCCTGCCTTCCGCAAAGTCTGAGGTTATATGTGTTCTTGCGAGTGGAGAGGCGTCACTAAGATCAATTTTGGTACTATTAGAGAGTAGTGAGACAGAAGATCCGACATCAGACACATGACAACCATTACAGAGAGAGTTTCAGGATATCCTAACCGAAAACTTACCGTCAGGGCCGCCACCATTAAGGGAGGTTCCGTTTGTTTTCACTTCAGACAAGGATGAGCCAACCTTGGGCTAATTTCAGAGGACTTTGTAGAGTACACTTGGCACCAAGTTTCAATTTGGTTCAGCACGGTACCCACAGATGGTTGGATAGACAGAGTTGGTTACTAGCAATTTGGGAACCCTTCTCAAGTGTTTTGTGGGGCAGTGCATCCGAAAATGAAATCTAGGTGCTTCTAGAGACACAGTCAAAAGCCCTCCAACCCCAAGAGATTACAACACTCTTACCACCTTCACCGCGACTGAACTGAATCCATAAGATTAGAGACATTCTTGACGAATGAGGTCCGGCCCCTGGTTATCCTAGGGAGTGTCGGTTTGGCTCCTAACCCCAGGGAGTGCCGCCCAAGTGAGTGAGCCCAATCTCAGTTATCCTAGTATTATATATTTGCTTTTGTGATGTTTTAGGGTTAGTTTTTTCGTTATTATTATTTTTCTTTTTTTTTTTTTTGATACAGCAATCGACATCTCATTTTCCCTTCTAAGTTAATATTCAAGGGTTTAAAGTGGTGGTTCGAATGTATCTCATTCCTGAAATGGTGCTTATCCTTCTGATACCCTTTCCCATACCTTTCCCACACAGATTCCCTTCCCCCCGTGACACCACCTGTCTTCCACCACCCCAAACCGCCTGCATCTTTGTTGCCATCGCTCATGACATCCCTTTTCATGTTGCCGCCGCCCAAAATAGCAAACCATTGTTGTTCCTATTGTTTCCGCATCCAATTCTCTGCTATCTCCGCCTATGACAGCCAATCCATTTGTCATCCAACAATTCCTCACCTCTCCTTGCAGCTGCCATCTCCCACCAGCCCACTAACCTCCTCTTTGCTACCTCTCCAGAAGCCCAACATTTCGTTGGCACCACGTAGACCCTAAATTCAACTCTAGGGCTAGTATTATGTTGTTGTTTGTTGCGATTTCAGATTTTCACATTGTCTTGTTGTAATTTTCTATTTGAATTCAGCAATAATATTTGTTTCTCCTGGTTTTATGAAGAATTTCGGCAACAGCGTCTAAAAACATTATGAGAATTTGTAATAAATAATTTCATAAGAACAAATTAGAAAAAAGTTCATAAATTCCACCTTCTGGCAGTACGTAGTTATGACCAGTATAACTAATCTAAATCTCTTTCATCAGAGAGATGGTTCATTTCAATAAAAACCTTAGCTACTAACAACCAAGCTAGTTTTGTAATTACAATATCCACCTCAAGAAGATTATCAAAAGTTGAACCAAGAAATACGAAATGGACTAATTAAGCAGTAAATTCATAAAAGGGGAAAAGCAACCTAAAATAAAGTAAACAGAAGCTTCCTCAAAATAATCAAAATGAGGAGACCACTTCAGCGTATGCATTGGGAAACCATCTGCATAGTATGATATGAATGGAGATTGCCTTGAATAATTAACTTATAAGGATAACTTCATAATAAAAAAAGAAAACACTAGAGAAGTTCAACCACATAATCCCCAACCAATCCTTGAATCTATGAAAAATCTTCTATTGAGGTAAATGCCAACTTAGACATCTCGATGTTAGAGAAAATGGTAATGATTTACCTTGATAGAAGGATGGCAGCATGTGATGAGTTTGTATAAGAAATTGCTAAAAACATATGAAGAAAGGAAAGGAGAACATAAGCCGAACATACCTCCTAACAATCTCAACAAATGAACAGTGAGCACAAGTTATGAGAGATTCCACAGTAATTAAAATATTAGAAGCAAAAACAGCCACGAAGAAAGTATTATTTTGCAAAAGTAGATAATGGAATAGATGGACTTAATGCCAAGAAAAGAGATGGAGCTAAAAAAGGAAAGGTGGCCGGCTGCCAAACATGAGAAGTAAGGGAAAACTTAAAAAATAGCATGTCAAACTGATGGAACAAGAGCACGAGCCTAGGCATCGAGGCCAAAGACAGCATGAGCACCTGCATCTAAGCTCGAAGGTGGGCTCTCCATAATAGAGGAATACATGTCAAGCACAAGCTGCCAAGCACACAAAGGATGCCAAAGCGCGAGAATAGGATTATGGCCACAGGTGGAAGTAAGGTTGTAGATAATGAGTGTCTTACGAATATTGAGAGCAAGCATAAAGTGCAAAAATAAGATGCTGAATGAGGGTAAAGCTGTTTGTAACCCAAGCTAGGGCATGGGCAGATGGCGGAGCCTTGTGAATATCACGCATGAGATTGGTTGAAAGCAAAACCAAGAAACAGTGTGAGCCGACTGCAAACAAATAGCACAAACAAAACATGGGTGATTGCACGAGTGCAAGCGACACATTCAAGATGTTGATTATGCATAAAATAATAGAATTTGACAGCATATCCAGTCTCATTGAAACAAAGTTTGGGGAAGGGGATCATCACATGCAACCAAAAAAATTCTTTCAATGAATTCATGTATTTCCATTTTCTATTGTCTATAATTGTTACACTCATCCTTTCAAACAAATCAATTAAAATGACATCAAATCTAATTCATACAAAGATCTTGAAAGGTATATTTGGCAACACAAGTTTTCTCTTTAATAAGTGCACTAGTGATGGGTCATAAGGCTTAAAAAAACAATAATTAACCAAAAGGATACCCATCATCATTAATCTAGTATCAACTATTTTGATTCAGTTGATGAATCCTCGTTTTTTTTCAGATGCAAACACAAAAGTCTCAATTTTTTTCAGTCCTTAATTCAAAAACTTAATTTTTATTGGTATATAAACAATGATAAGGCATAGGAATACATGTCTTGAATATTCAATAGAGTTTAGCAGTCAAAACAGAACCCAGATGATGGAAAAATAGCAAAAACAAAAAAATAATACTGAAAATATATATTGCAAATGAATAGCCGGACCTAAGAATGCCAGGACATCAGAAAATCCATTGCAATGCCTTGTGAAAGTAACATGACAAAATTGATGTTGAAAATAGACACTTCAAAACGCTAACCAGAGTACCCTTCAGCACTCTCTGCAGTCTATAATTACAAAAATCTGAGATTAAATATCAAAATTTCTAATCATCATACCACCAAATTTGCTAAAGATTCTTTTCTCTTTCGTTATATTCCACATTACTATTGAACATGACAGTTAAATAATTTTTCAGTACGAGCTTGATTGGCATCACTCCAACATGCCACCGAAAAATAGAAGGAAAACGCCTTTTTACCTAAAAGCTAGAAGTAGCATGATCGCATAAGATATATTTACATATAATGCGTAAAGATTATCAACACCTTCTATGAAGTTAATTCTTTTAGGAGGGCGAGTCAGTTACACTTACAGCCATGGTATCAGCTATTGCGTATGCCTCAGTTTCAGATCCAACATTCTCCAATTTTTCATTCTAAACATTTGAGAAGTCATAAGTCAGTAAAAGAAAGTTCAAACTACTTTAATCATAAAATTATTACTGCAAGATATGAAGAGCTAACATCTTTTTACTGCACAATCTTTTCCAATGAATTGCAAAAAAAAAAAAGCTTACCTGAGTTCCAGAAGAGTTTATGTACAAGTAAATAGGTTTGGAGGGATTATCGTAGTCCAACCACATAAACTGTGCCACAATCAACTCAGTCACTGCTGGAACAATCTGTGTAACAAAAAAATTTCTAAGTACATAAGAATTGGGCGGCATGCATGTTAATGCCCAATAAAAAAATTTAAAAAAAATCATGTGAAATGGAACATGCGAATAAATATCTAAGGCTCATATTAGTTTGAGAAAAATTATCTCACAGGCATTCCCAAGTAGCAAATCCGGGCATCCAAAAGTAAAGAGGGCAAATCTGGAGGGGCGGTTCTAGGCCTACCGTAGCCTCTTGCACCTCCACGGTACATGCTTACACTCATACTATACTTTGATGAGCCTTCTGTTACCCCTGTTAGGCTATACATCCCTCCGTTATCAAGGTAATTCCTAGCCGATGAGATGCTTTCCTGCCAACATCGAGGATAATCAATTAATTTCCTCCCATACAAATCTCGCACAACATATATGCAGTGATTAGTAGAGTATTTACATAGATAACATCCAATTCTTATGCATTTACATGCCTACTACCTAAACATTACATTTTACATTTATACCACCCAAATCTTTCCTATCACATAAAAATACCACAATTTCACCTTTTAAAAACTGAAATATATCTTTTTCATGAATATGGAAGGTGGCATATATGTAAAAATTGAAGTTTGTGTTACATATGTAAACGAATAGGAATTGAGTGGTATGTATGTGAATCTTCCTAGAGTTAAAAATTACCGATAAATTTCATTATGAAAGCGTGACTATAAAGCATACCTCCGTAACTCTTTCCTGTTGACGCCTTACAGGGTTATCTTCAGTCATGAACATGTCCATTTGTGAAGCTGTGAGACCATAGAGGTGCTGCGGAACATTCTTGTAGTTTTCCTTCACTACAACAACCCCACATCACATCTGATTGTTTTGCTCAAAAATAAAGAAAAGCTCATATGGAATTTGATGGCAAGATGATAAGGCCAAACTATTTGATGCAGCACATGTTTTGGTCTAGGAGTTTCTAATGCAACTAAATGATGATACGATAAAATAAATTCAAATATATAAAACCAAATCTCATAATTCACAGACTGCCAATTAAAAAAATTGTGTATGCTTTTGATGTGAGCAAAAAAGACTAAAATTCATCTTAATGGTAATTTAATGATCATCCAATAAAAATTTTACAAGAAATAGGATTGAAAGAAAAACATATCTGGATTAAGTCACATTTAAATAAGAAAATCCATATTGAAACAAACAACTAAAATCAAATTACAATCACAAAAAAATGTTGACAAAAAGAGAACAAGGAAAGAATTTGACAAAAAGAGAATAAGGAAAGAATTAACAAAATAAAGGATTGAAATTGGCTTCCGCTAGACGGCGGCAATCAAAACTTGCATTGTACTCAAAGAACTCACATCAATAAGCATATCAATTTGACGACAACAATAATAACAAAAAGCCTTTATCCAACTAAATGGGGTTGGCTACATGAATCCTTTTTCTCCATTGTGTCCTATTGAGCGTCATTTTTTCATTTAATTCTAATAGATTAAGATCATTTTTATACAATACACCGGTCATTTTAGGTCTAAATCTACCTTTCTTAATATAAATCGAATCTAAAACATCTACTCTTAGATGGGCGACGTTTAATGTGACCAAACCATCTAAGACAACTCTCTAATCTTGTCTGCCACTAGAGCTACACCAACCCTATCACGGATATAGTCATTCCGCATTTTGTCACCAAGTGTCCAATCACTCATCCACCTAAGCATTCTCATCTCATCAATACTTAAGTTTGTTCTATGTTCTCTTTTAAAGGCCAGCATTCTACACCATAGAGCAGTGCAGGCCTCAATACCATCTTATAAATTTTCCCTTTTAAGGGTCCGTTTGGGGCAGCTTATTTGGTGCGGTGATGTTTTGAAAACGCACCTGGCCTATTTGGGTAAACTGAGTTTTGGCAGCTTATGAGTTTTCAAAACGCTGAAAACAGTATTTTCACACTGCACCTATTTAGGTGCAGCGACAACTTTCTGGCAACAGTCTGAATTTTCCAAAAAAATAAAAAATTCGTAATAATCACCGCACCTAGCTTATCAGCAGAATATTCAATAAGCTGCAGCTGCCCCAAACAGACTCTAAGTCTAAGAGGTACTTTACTATCACACAATAAGCCCAATGTATTCATCCACTTCAACCAACCGACATGAATTCTACTAATAACGATCCCATCTATATCACCATCACTTTAAACAATAGACTCGAAATATCTAAAAATTTCACACATTTTAATGATTTGATTACCCATAGTTACAACTCTGTCACTAGAGCTACTACTAGTAAAAGTGCATTCTATATATTAATTTTAAATCTACTCGAATGAAGGCTTTTACACTCCAATGTAGACCTCCATAATTCTAGTTTTTCCTGACCTTTTTTTCTAGTTTTATCCACTAGAAGGATATCATCAATGAAAAGCATACACCAAAATAAATTCTCCTTTAAATATCCAGTAAGAGTATCCATAACTAAAGGAAAAAGATATGGACTTAAAGTTGATCCCTGAAGTAATCCAATTGAAATAAAAAAATACTTGATCAATCCTCCTGTTCGAACCAAGTAACTATTCTAGTATACATATCATTAACGGCTTGAATATAAGTCATATCAACACACTATACTCTCTAAAGGACTTTTCTTGGAAGCTTATTGTAAGTCTTTTCTAAATCAATAAAAATCATATGTAGATCCTCACTCTCTTTGTACTTCTCCGTCAAACCTCTCAATAAAATTATAGAAATCCAAACTGAATATGAGAATCTTTGTAACACATCTTAACCTATATTCAATCACCCGCAGCCATAATTTTAAAGTATGACACATCAACTTAACTCTTCTATAATTTGCAAACTCTTGTGTAACCCCTTTATTCTTAAGCATGAGAACCAAACTCTTCCTCCACTCAAATAGATTTTTAGTTTTTAAAACAATATTAAAGAGTTTAGTAAGCCAAGAAACTCTCAAATATCCTAAATATTTCCACAATTTAATTGGGATGTCATTAGGTCTTACTGATTTTCCACCATTGATTTTCTTTAAAGGCTAATCAACATCTTTTTTTATTAATACGACGGTAAAAATAAAATATTTTATTATTATTAACGATATTAAGATCATTAAGAACAATTGTATTTTCAAAAATTTCATTGAAAAATTATTAAAATAGCTTATTTACCTATGTTAATAAACCTCCTCTAAAAAAAGCACTCTTTGATTTTCATCTTTAATGCACTTTATTTGAATTAAATATTCATTTTTCTTTTTTCTCTGTTTGACTAGTTTATACATATATTTTTCACCTTATTTAGTATCTAATTTATTAATAAATATCACTAAAATTAAAATTTTAAACATCACAAATTATTCTCATAAACTATCTACGGGTCATCTTATATTTTTCTCAGTTCTCTATACTTTTACATTTAAAGTAATTTTTATAAAACAACTTATATTTTATTTTTTTTGCACATTATTATTCCACCACCAATTATTTTTATTTAAAAAACTTTTCCTTTTGATTCTCCGTGTGCATCTTGCCGCTTGTTTAATAGTGCATGTTAATTTATCCCACATAGAATTAGCTTCTTCATGAAAATCTCAAATCTTGAAATCATAAAGTTTACTCATAAAATTTTTTTTATTCATGTTTTTTAGGTGTCCTCATCTAATTCTATGATGATTTTTCATTGTATTTCTTATCTTTTCATTGTATTTTTTATCTTAAAAATCATCTTAAAATCCAAAACTAATAATTGATGTTGAGTACTTAAATTTTCACAAGGAATGACCTACATTCTCGACAATCTCTTTTTCTCATAAGAAAAAAATAAGTTTGAATTTTATTATATTCACTCTTGTAAGTAATAATATGCTCATCTCATTTCTTAAATAAAATATAAGCAATAGCAAAATCATATGCTGACGCAAAATCTAATATAGTTCTACCTTCTTCATTAATCACTCAAAAACCAGTCATCATGAATTTTTTTAAAATCTTCTACCATTTTACCAACATGTCAATTTAAATGTTCTCCAATAAAAATTCTTTCTTCAAGATGTATCATTTTTATTAAGTCTTCTAGTTCAATCCTGAATTTTTCTTTTAAGCCCATGTCTAAACCTACTTGAGAAGCATAAACACTTATAACATTAAAAAACTTAATATCAACAATAATCTTTAAAGTTATAATTCTATCTCTAGTTCTATTAATTTTTACAGCATTATCATTCAAACTCTTATCTATAATTACACACTAAATCTAGAGGGACACCTACCTGAATACCAATGTTTAAAACCTAAGATATCAATCTTCTTAACATTTTTTTAAACTCATTTAGCTTTTTGTATATATAAGATGTTTATTTTCTGATGAATCACAATATTTACTAATTTCATTAATTTACCTGTGAGAGTACATATATTCCAAAATCATATCTTGATATTAGTCTCATGCAAAAACTTAATTGCCCGTATTCGTCCGTAATGTGAGAATTGTTGCTTATTTGACACTACACCTGAGCATCGGTGTAGCGGCCCTTGCACATTTTTCACTACATTCAGGTCATACAGAGCGTCGCTTCTAGGAGAAATCATAGCATTTACACAAGGATTTAAAAGATTCATGTCATGATTTATAATGATCATATTGTAATTCCCATTTATATCCTTTACATGCCTAAGAAATCATTTATAATCATCATATTGTAATACTCATTGGTCTCTGTTGACCAACAACAACAAGCCTTTGTTCCACTAAGTGGGAACGGCTACATGAATCTTCTCTCTCCATTGTGTCTTGATAAGCTCGTCACAACGAGCCTTCTAACTTCCATGTGAATTCATTAAATTTACCTCAACCTCTAGATGGATCTTGTGGCATTCATCCAGCAATTATTGTGCTTGTCAGAGCTCAATTTTCATTATCACAATCCTCAATTGTGCCACTTAAAAACTTCAAGTTAAAAGGGTTTTATGGAGAATACCCCAAACATAAATCAAACGGTGATTTTGATGTTGATCCTTGGATGGTGTAGTTCAAAGCTGATTAAAAGTAGAACGTTCATCCTATGTCTTTGGATGCCATGAATTACAGCTCCTACAAACGTAGACCATCTTTCGACTCAACACCTTTACTTTCCTATCTTACCTAGTGAATGATGATGCTTTGTTTCAGCTTGGTGTCCATCAAACATCAAAGTGTCTTCCACTACTTACTAAGAAATTTATTGTCTTTGTCAAAACAATAGATGAAGGTAAATCACAATACTCCCAACTATGTTGAAAACACATCTATGCGACATCCACGCTTATTATGGTCACCTGACAAGAAATTAGGCACACACATTCTTGGGAAAAAAAAACCATTACGACAAATAAGTAATACAAAGTGCCTTAGGCAATCCTCCTAAGAACTCCATTGAAATGGTCCCCCATGACCCATTGAGTATTGGCAAAGCTGTGTTCAAACCCATATATAACCACAATAAGCTTTAGTGAGTTTATTATTTGTTCGTGCTCAGCTAACTAGAAAGTGACATGGATGATTCACGTTGGACAGGTGCAATAAGCAGCAATAACTCCTAGAACGGTTCAGCGGGAAGGAGTGTTTTTTGTGTGTGTTGTTGGGGGGGGGGGGGGGGCGGCCAAAAGAAGGGGGGGGGGGTGCCGCCAAAAGAATCGGGGTCCACCTTAAGCAACCCATAATATTAAATATGTGATTCTTCTTGTGTTCAGGGCATCATTTGTTTTGTTTTCCTGTCGAAAGAGAGCTTGGTGTCTCTGAATCTTCTCTCTGAGAGTTGTAATAGATGATGAGAAGGT